TAGGGTTTAGGGTTTAAAAACGGCTTAGGGTTTATGGTTTAGCATACGGTTTAGGGCTTAGGACCAGGATTTAAGATACGGTTTAGGGTTAGGGTTCAGGGTTTAAGATACGATGTAGGGTCCAGGGTTGAAACTACGTAGGGTTTAGGGTTTACACTACGATGTAGGGTCCAGGGTGTAGGGTTGAAAATAAATGGCCCGAACCCCTAAACCCTGAACCCTAAACCCTATATAAACCCCCGAACCTTTAAGAGCTTAGTTTGCAGCTTCTGCGAGGTGGCGTGCCTGGTTCTGGAGAAGCTGATGCATCTTGGGCTTCTCTAATTAGGGGCCTAAATAATTACCTAAACTATTTTGGCGTTCCTTATTGTGTGTGTATATATATATATAGAGAGAGAGTATAGTGGGCTCCAAAGCCCTATTCTAATTATTAAGGCCCAAACCCACCCTAAACCCTAAACCCTAAACGTGTTGAACTCTAGATGATTTTAGTGTGTATGCTTCTATCCCGGGCTTATATGGGCTTCGGGTGAAGGGAAGACCTGACTTGAAACCGTGGGCCCTTTAAGCCATACACAAGCCTAAGCCCTAGGGGGTTAGGGGTTTAGGGCTTGTAAGGGTATAGGGTTTAGGGTTCAGGGTTTAGGGTTTAGGGCCTAGCACTAAATCTCCATCATTGCGCTTCCCCTGGCAAAAAGAGTCTTAGAGGGGGCAGCAGATTTTGCTGGTTCGAGCCTTCACGTCACTGATGTCGAAGGCACTTGGAGCGCCGTCCGCAGAGGTGGGAAGAAGGGAAAAAGTGCTTCAACCCTAAACCCTAAACCCTCCTTAGGAGTTCCTCTAAGGCTTACTATAAGGGCCCTCTTTAAGGGTTACTATAAGGGCCCTCCTTAAGAGTTCCTTTAAGGGTTACTAGAAGGGTTCTATCAGGGCATCAGGTTTAGGTTGGTTGGTTGGTTCAAAGACACAAATGTGTCATCCCTGGGCAGGGAAAGAACGGACAGGAGTGGGAGCCCTGAGTGCTTGCACCGACAGGTGCCCTGACCCCCAGAAAGCCAAAGCAACTAC